CAGTAGTACCCTTTTGCCCTTTTTCAGTTTTGGGCCCCCTTATTAAAGCCGAATATTAAGAAAAAGGGTACCCTTATTATTAAGGGGTTACTGGGAACTTAGGTGATCCACTTCTTTGGCCTGAACGATACCGGCTCGCTCTTCGCCTTGGAGTGGTGGATGCACTTCCCCGACGAGGGCGCAGGTGGCAAGTGCAACAAGGAGCTACTGAGATCAATAGCATCGATCTCTAATTTACTGGCAGCGTAGTCTTCCAGCTTGCAAGCATGTTGGTTTCTTGCTGCGCATCCGAGCCGCATTGATGCTGTGAATCTCATAACGAGGGCTATGTCTACGAATTCTGACTATGTCTACGAACGTACTCTACTACCTACCATTACGACGCTACCTCCATGACTGCACATCTGGTTGATTCAGCCATGACTCGTTGTGCCGTGGTCACTCTGCATAGTGTCTCTGCCTCTGCTCCAAGTAATTGATCTTAGTCTAGTTTCGGGGCCTGCCTGTAAGTCTGTACAGTGGCAGGTCCTGACCCCTGAAACCTAAACTCTAACCCCTAAACCCCTAAACCACCCTAAATCCTAAACTCTGAACCCTAAACCACCCTAAACCCTAAACTACATGACCCTTCAACCCCTAGCCAACCGTGCCAGCACAAAAGCCTAAGGTAGCAGATAACTGGAATCGAAGGATGATCCTTACCGTAGCCTTTTTTCCGTAGGTACACCACTCTGAGCAGCATCTACGACCTATTCCAGCCCTGACCTTTGAAGCCTCCAGCATCGACCCTTTCTAATAAACCTTTTAGGGTTCAGGGTCTAAGGATGAGGCATCAAACACTCTTCTGTGGTTTAGGGTTGAGGGTTTAGCCATACGGGAAGTTCTCTAAATTAGGGTCCCTTTTTAGGTCCTCAAAATAGAACGGCACCCTTGTAAAAAGGACCCACCCATATAAACCTCAGGGTCTAATTCGATCGGACTGAAAAGGACGAGACATCCCTGTAGCCCTAGCCCTCGTTGCGACTATACTTTGGCATACCGCTCAAGTCCCAGTCTCATTGTTGAAGCTCCCATGAGGGATCTACGGTTACGGTTTAGGGTTTACGGTTTAGTTCAATTTTTCGAGCTTTTGGGTCCAAGGTTGGCGGTTTCGGGCTAAAGGCTACAGGTGTGCCGTTTGTAACCCGAGACCCTGTGATAACCCGAAGCCCGGAATCCGGACTTGAAGACTTCTGGGCCTATAGGGGTTTGTGGTTTGGATCTGGGGCAAGGCTCCATTGTGCTACTCGTAATGCTCTCTGCTGAACATCCGAAAGACCTTAGGTTCTGGAGCAAGTGGGTTCCACGCCGCATCAAGCACAACGCCTTCGTGCTCGCCCTGTGGACCTGCGTGTGGATGCTGGGCACCTACCCTCTGGGACGCCCCCTGAGCGAAGGCTGGCGGTTCATGTTCACCGTGTCCTTCTTCGCTCGCGTCGGCTACTCGGCGGCTTGGATGTTCATCACCAACTTCACGCATCTTAGATAGCCAGTGGGAGAACTTTAAACTTTTTGGCCTTATAAATTATAGGTCTATACTAAAAAGTTTGAACTTTTTCCGGCCTG